CCCCCCCCCCCCAACAGCCAAAACAGAGACACTGAAAATGAAAAGTAAGGCATCCATGCAGGTGTGCGCACGCAAATCAACTGTTACCTTAATGTTTAATACAATCAGCAGGGAAATTTTCATCCGCATTTTGTAAACGCCTCGTATTTCGATCGCTTAATCTCCCCAGATTGTAGTCATAGAAATCTGTTAGCAGGCAAATAAAAGGCCGCTTTGTCATTAAAATAAAAAAAATAAAATAAAATAATAATCAGATAAAAGTGCTGATCATCAATAGCCGGTGACAGGCCAGGAAGACCCAAAGGGCAGCAGTGAACAGAGGTGGAAAATTAAAGCGGAGTGATACGGGAGCCGGCTCCTTTCAGCCTCTCTCCCTTCAAGCACATGCAAATGAGGCCGTGCTGCTTAACTGCATCATTTATGTGGATAATAGCGGCATCATCATTACGGGAACTCAAATTAAATTACATCACAATTAGCATAACAAAGTGATTGGTTAAACTTTCAAAACAAATAACGCAGCTCTGCTAATGAACAGTGTTAATTGGTGAGTGTGCATTCTAAATAAAACATGTAGGTAAACATGTGTTTTAGTCTAACAATTTTAAATTTCACTTCCCCACTTTTTATTTCTTTTTTGGGGAGGAATAGAAGAAAACAGAAAAAGAAGACTTAAAACTGAATACTGCCAGGGGGATTTGTAAGCTGAAATATAAAATGTGTAGCATTTAATTTTATTGCGCTAAAGAACCTATTATATGCCAGACTCTAGAGAACAATGTAAATTATCTGCCTTCAAAATGGAGTTTGGCCAATTCTCCATGTGAACTAATCACATAGCTCATTATGCATTAGGGTATTAAATTATGAAGAGGAGTCCCTTTCACATTCCTGCACAAAGCCCTATAAAATGTTAATAATATGCCCACAATAGCCCAATACCATGCCTTGCTCACCCTCATCAATATTTAAGTAAACAAATGATCCCACTCGCCTTTGATAAAGATAATTAGTGCTTCACCAATTATCAGTCTTGTGACCTCTCTCCTCTTCAAACTAAACGTCTGCTCCAAAGAGTTTGGGATTTTTTCCCCCTCCACACGCAAAGAGATGGGAGAAAAACAAATAAGTCAAACTTCAAGTAACAGCTTTGCCCTCTCAGAACACATATCTGCAGCTGATTAATATTTGATTGTTATTAGCTTATGAAAGGTTATTGAGTGGCTGTGCCCTTTTATTCGGCTTAATCATAGTGGTGCATCACTGTCCTCTTGATTTTAATGATCAATGATTAGCTTAGCAAGCGAGTAGCAACATCTGAAAAACACACATACTCACACACACACTATCCAAATAGTACAAGAGCAGAAAATACCACAGCAAGTTCATGCACACACACACACACACACACACACACGAATTCATTCAAACACACACACACACACACACAAAGCCAAAACCAGCACACACGTGCTCACTTGTACGCATGCACATAGACACACACACACACAGCCATACACACTGAGCCATTCATCAACACTAATTAAGCAGCAGATTAACAGAGCCCGCAGACCAAGGCTGAACGGTTACACAGTGGGACGACCAACGGGGAAGGCAGGAGACACAGCCCGGCAATAAAATACAACCATTAAACACAGCCAAGAGCCTGAAGTCGACTATGGGTGACAGAGGATTGATGGCTGGATGAATGATGGATGGATTGATGGATAAATAGATGGATGGACAGTCTGCCTGACTTTTTTTTTTCTTCTTTTTTTTACCTGAAGGTGAGAAGTGCCAGAGAGCTTGACCGAGGAACAGAGTACTTGGCTCTGCCACCGCCGAGGGTGTCTAGCTGCAACGGCCCCAAGTCGACTGGTGTCACCGTGTGAAGAGGCAACACTATCTGTGTCATCACTTTAGCCGTGTTTATGGGGGATGGCATCATAAACAAGCCACCCCCCACCACCAACCCCCCCTACACTTCTCGCCACCCGCCACACAGCCCCCGCCCCAGTTCCCCCCTTCTCCTTTCCTCTCCTCTCCCTCTCTTGCCACCTCACCACCACTGTACCATTCATGCATACTTAAATCACACTCGCCCCATTAAAAAAAAAAAGAAAAAAAGAGGGGAAAAAAAAGGAGAAAGCCCAGACGCCTCTCCTGACAATTATTCTATCATTTCCAGTTGTCACCGGGGCAATTACCGATCGGGGGGCCCTTGTGCAGGTCGGGCATGCAGGCCCGAAAGAGGAGGCTTGAGTTGGGGGAGAGAAGGAAAAGAATGGGAGAGGGACAGCGGAGGGCGTGTGTATGCGTGTGTGCGCGCATGTGTGTGTGTGGAAGGAGGGAGGTGGGGGTGTGGGTGAGGGGGTGTAGTGTACAAAATGGAAATTTATGACAGAGAGACGGTGGCTTCTTTCTCTCTCCGCACTGGATATAATTAGACCATCATTTTTTTAAGTCTGAAGATAATGAAATTTTGCAATTACAGGAAAACACCACTTAATCATTTCATTCACCGGTTTAGTGGAAATGAGCAATACCGCAATTACTAGGTAAAGCTTTGCTTTTGGTGCATTTTTAGAAAATAAATCTGAGATAAGTTTTTTTTATTTATCTCAGCTACTTCTAAAAAGTAGCAATAAAGCATGTGCATCCGTGTGCAAATGTCTAAGTGTGTGTGTGTGTGTGTGCAGGTACTCTGCGTGTGGGTGGGTCCTGTGTATGACTGAGAGAGTGTGTGTATGTGAGAGTGTGTGGGGATCTTCACACGGGGACTGCTGTGACTCGTCACAGGATGTTCGCCGGCTCTCCCCTTGCATCTCGCCTGCATGCTTACCAGGGAGGCTCGCGCTGCTCTCGCTCTAATCGCACATCTGCTTCTCTGAGCACACGCTCTCTGTCTCTCTCTTTCTCTCTCCCTCGTGCAAGTGCACACACACTATCGCTCTTGCGCACAACCTGCCGGACCTGCTCTCTCCTTTGCTCTGTGTAGTCGGCATTGCTGAGACAAGAGGGGGACAGAAGTACGAGAAGAGAGAGGTGCACTCGCCGCAAAGGTATGTGTGTCTGGCTTTATACTAGTGCTTTTCCTTTCAGCTCCGATTGTGTGCATGTCAAAGTGTGTGTGTGTGTGTGTGTGTGTGGATTCAAAGAGTCTGAATGGGATTAGTGAAGGGCTCAGCGGCAGTCGGTAGCCTCCATACCGTGCACGGGGCACTTAAAAACAATTAAGCCATATCACATCCGTGTATTTCCAAGTTACACGACATCACGAAGCACTGCTACGTTAACACAAAACTAAGTCATAAATAGTCCAAAAGAGGCAGATAAAATGACCTACCTTTTAAACAATGACTGAGAAATCCACTCTCCCTGGTAAGAAGCATTTGAAGAAGTATTCTCAGAAACCTGAGAGCATTACGGTGCATCAAAAATGAAGAGAAGGGGAAAATGCCAGTAGCGGAAAACAGACGGCAGGAAAGTGGAGGCAAAAAAGGAAGAAAAAAAAGTAGAGTAACTAGCTGACGCTTACTGTCAAAGACATCACCAGAGAAGTATTTACAGCGGTATTTACAGTAGTGCGAGGGGAGAGCACCTCTGCCTGGTCACGTCTGAGAGACAGTTGCCGTTTCAGTGCTGCCTAATTAAAACAAGTCAGGCAGCCCCGCTGGATTGTTTTGACGCCTGAGGACCAATAGTACACAAAAACCAGTGGCTTGATCGGCGGGGTAGGGGGGCTGGTCGTGGGGAGCAGACAGGAGGGGGCGGAGGGTGGCGAGAGTTGGCAAAGAAATGGGGGGGGGGTACTGGAGGAATCTGAGAGGGGAGGGAGACGACAAAAGGTTGAAAACTGGCGAGACCGCCACATGCCCAATGCTTGCTTACTATTTTTCTAAGATGATCATTAAAACTGTTATAAATACCTTAACAAAAGGTATTTTTAAATGTAAATGATTGGCCAAACAAAACAGTTACGGGAAGGGAAGGAAGAAATATAAAAAGATATACAGAGAGAAAAAAGAAAAAAAAATTAACACACAAGCTGACAAACATTTCACAGCTTTTCTCTCTCAGCCAGAATGTTTAAAGGCTTGGTTTACTACTTGATAAAAGGAGAAAATGTGCTTGTACAAATGTTACATTCACATATTTGAAGCCTAATGAATTAGGTCAGTATCTATTACTAGAAGTGCAAAAGCTGCCAATCCCTATCGCCGGATAAAGACGCTGACAAAAGCTGAAACGAGCTGAACGAGTCTCGGCTGGGATCAGATGTGCTGCGTGTGATGTATTGACGTGTTTCCCCCATTGTAAACAACGCACAACAGGCAATGAGACGGAACATTTAGGGCTAATGGTGTTTGCCAATCTTTTTGTCAATTTTTTTCCTCCTCTTTCTCTCCCCTTTTTCTCCCTCCCTCTCCCTTGCATGCCACAGATGTTTTTCTTAGTCGCTCCAACAGACAGGAATCTACTGGCAAGAAGAAAGGCTCGGTCTTCCCCAGGAGAGAGGAGTACAAAGCCCCCAGTCTGCACACAACAGATGCCGAAAGCTAGTCCATCTGCCACCAGCTTGCAGTGCCACATGGGCCAGAGAGATTTAATACAAGAGAGGACTTTTATTTATTCCTTTGCCTATGTAAGTTTGTGCCACATAATCAAATACAAATACACATCTAAATCTGGCACAGATGCAACTTTAAAATTAAATTCACACTAACGGACACACACATGTGCGAGCATACAGGCAGCCGCAAGAGGTTATAGGGAGTGCAAGAATCTTCTGTTTTAAAGAGCGGCACCCGGGGCAACTATGACAGATTTATTTAGGCAAAGATGTAGCCCCCAACGCGGGGTAAAGACCACTTGAACTCACAGCTCAGAGCGGCGCACTGGTATAATTTAACAGCCTCTGAATAGCACATTATCTCCCCGGCTCTGTTGGAGCATATTTTAGCTGTATGATATCATTATTAAGAGACAAACACAGACCAAAAAAAAAAAAGTAGCATTTTCATTAGTGTCAACTGTCTGAGCTCTGAGCCAGGAAAGGTAAACACCAAACAATCATGACAGGCTGAAAGAGACCGTGGGAGCTGAAGCAGGCGAGAGAAAGAGAGATGACAAGAGTGGAAAAGCAAGCAAGAGAGAGAAAAAAAAAAGAGACAGCGACGGAGAGAGTCAAAAGGGGCTAACATTAAACAACTGCTGTTAATTGCTCTAAGCATCCACATTATGCCAGTAATTTCTCCCATTTCTCTTTCAGCGCTAAGGGCTTCAGGCTAGAAAGCTCCTTCAGCCCCTTTAATAAACTACTCAGAGTGCCCCACTGGAAAAGACAAACACGAGGCCCCTGGCCTTAGAAACATTTGCCTCACTAGGGGGAATGCTATGCCTGTTTCTACACTTCTGTGACAATTCTGTGCCTTCTCCCTTCAGGTATTTGTTCCCTACGTCTCTTCTTCCAGTGCTTTCTGCTGCCAAGGTCAACAGAGACAAACAGGCCCACCAGCGTCTTGATGTGGTGGCAGCAGAACAGTGAGAGGGGAAAGAGGGAGAAAATGGGGGAGATGGATAGATAGACATGTGTAGTGGGTACAGCGGGGAGGGGCGATGGTGGCAGCAGCTGGTTACCAACCTCGGCAAAAGCAGCAGCAGTGGAGGAGCAGTGCATCTGAAACGCACTCAAACTCCACACTGATGATAGCAATAAATGCTTCCCATCTCCCAGCACTGCTATAATTTCCATAGTTTATAGGCACACAAACACACCACTACTATTTTAATTAAAGCTACACTGGCACTGGGGACAAAGTCAAGTGTGCCTTGAAAAGCACATGCACTGCTGTAAGGTCAGCTACTAGAAGCCAATCTTCAGCTATAATTTTATTAACAGGTATTAGCCTAAATGTATTGAATTTACAAAATAATGCACTAATTTTTAAATTAAAAAAAAAATAGGACAAAAGGCAAGCACAAAGATTTCTCAGAGATTACAAGTGTAATATATGTATATTTCTCTCAAACCTTTCAGTAAGTCTATTTATGTTGTCTTACTTCCCAGAAATTTAGCGCCACCTGGAACAATTGGTAGAGCACCCGTCATTATTCATCACCTAGCACGCTAGCAAGGGCAGCCTTACCACTGCAGGAATCGTTGGCTTAAAAATAAATAACTTTTGAGTTCTACACCACTATGGAGAGGAAAAGCTTTGCATTTAAAAAATAAAGGTTTTCATATGTCAGTCCTCTGAAAATCTTTTTTTATAGAGAGGTAAAAAGATTTGCTTGTCTTAATACTTTGGTTTACTCAAAGCACATTCTTCCAACTTGACACTGAAAGTGCTCAACCAAGATTGAACTTGCAGGAGACTGTAAAGGCTTTTATAAACACATTTTACTGTCACAGAGGAAATAAATTAAGCAGGGATGGTGATGAGCCCTTAAATTGCATTTATGACTTTATGGTTAACTCAAGTTTCTATTTATATTATACATATGTTACACTTGTATTGAAAAAAAAAATGAATATGTTATTTTTATATACACGTGTAATATGGGGTCAATAATCCTGACTTTTCAATATAAGGTTTAAAATGTCCTCTTTTAATTTTCCCATTTTTGGAAATAAATTCATGTCACACACACACACACACACAAGGTCCTTTCATAAGTTGTCACATAAATGTTCCACAAGCATAATTCCTGTTCCACTAAGTCCTGCCTACAAAGAATGAAATGAATAAGCCAAATAAGGCATAATGAGGGGGTAGGGCTCTTACTAGTCCTGGTCAATGCTGATCACATGATATGTTGCTTATGGCCACAGAGCAAAGACCATTACAGACCGGTGATTATATAAGTGGTTGGAAGGCAGCACCATTTTAATATACTGTACTTAAGCACCGGGGTATCCATGGCAACTTGCCCTGCACCGTGCATTCAGAAAATCCCTCATGAAATGCCTATTAAGTGGATGATAATGACAGTGTCCAAATATATTTGCATATGTGTTTGAAAGCCAAAAAAGAAAAAGAAAAAAGAAACACAAGAGAAGTCAATGGGGGTGGAGGGGTCCCCGATTGTTGCAATCATAGTAATAATCATAATAAATATGTTGACTTTTGTTTGTTTGCTGCTATTGTAAGAAATACAACATTTTTAAATCAGTGATTAATGAAAGGCTTTGCTTCCAGTAAGACCAGTACTGCCACAGTTGATTATTATTGGTAATGTGTGTGAATTAAGGCCTCTTCGCCTTCCTCTGGGATTCTCCACATGTGACTTCCATTTGCAACTCTGGCCGAGTGCCCAACAGGACATCCCTGAGAGAGTGTTTGCTTGACTCAATATCAACAGCCCGAGTAAGCAGCTGGAGGGGACACTCTGGCCAAACCCAGCCATCGCTTCTATTGAAAATAAACTAGGCTGTGCATTCACTGGGCCCAAAAATATCAACACGCGCTGCAAGGAGCCACGTATAGCACTCTCCACTGTTCCGCTGGTGCCTCTCAAAGGCTTAATGATACCTGCACCTCCCCTCCAGCTGCTTCTGCCGACGCCGTAGCTACACACAGACGGCAGGTGGGCGGGAATTAAAGTATACATTACAGCAGAAAAATAAAAAGAGATCGAAATGACAGAAGTCAGACAGTTCAAGCTAACTGGGCCTCTTGAAGCGAAGGAGCTGGTAGACTAGCGACAGACACTCTAGGTTAAATTGGCCCTCCAGTGCCTCCTCTTATTTTCCCCCACCACCGCAGCTGCCTCCGATGCCCACCCCCAATTCTAAAAAAAAGAAAGAAAGAAAAATAGCTTTTCTTCAAAAACATATTTGAATTAAACGAGTTGCTGAAATCAAAGGCTCAGCTGAGATGGATAAATTTAAACAAGCAAGTGCAGCTCACAGCAGTTTACCTGTTATACAGCAGATTGGAAGGAGATGAAAGAATAGAGCATGGAAGACAACTTCTCTTTTTTCACAGCAGTAGATATGATCATATAGTAAAAGGCAGCTACGGTTTAATTAGATTCCTACTAGGAGAAAAGTACATGCTACTGAGTTGTTGTGGTTTTTTTGTTTTTTTATCTTCTTGGCCACTGAGATGTCATCAAGCTAAAGCAACGGCCAAAAAGAAAAAAAGGCGAGGGGGGGATTCAATAGTCGTCTCATGCATTCAGATTTCCTGTTAGGGGATGAATCTGAAACCCATTTATGACAGTGATCTGTAGTGTCTGAGGATCCCACAGCTCCAGCTCTGCCAAAGAGATTATCATTCCCAGAACCACGGCTACACAGTTGAATGGCAAAGAGACAAGCTTCACTGGCAGTCAAAAGAGCACAACACCTGTATATGCTATGCAACAACCCGCTATCTAACATCCAAGGAATCCCATCAATGCACTCACAAGTAGCAATAAAAAATGCTTTCATGCCGGATGAAAAATTTGATGCTGACCATGAATTAGATAACAGGGAAACTTTTGGGAATAATCCCCAGAAGCTGTTGTGACGTGGAGCTTTTAAGTGGACTTTACAGACCTCCGATTACCTCAGCCTTCTGGGTTCACTGCTGACATAGTGGCTATCCATTCATGACTAAAACACCATTCGACTTGATACCAATTACACCTTTAAAAAAAAAGACCTGATCAAATTAATTCAGGAAAATGGCATTCTAGCAAAGAATAATAAAATCATTATTTGGAAAACTTAAAACTCTCATATTCTCCACACCACGGCTAATTCAAACCTAATTTTTACTAGCCACTAATTTGAGGGTGAAGGGGTTGGGGGGGGGGGGGGGAGGGGGGTAGGAATTACATCTGGAGGTAATTCAATGTGTGGAACTGAGCCCAGTGGAGGCTATAATACCCCCCCACTCGCCCACACGCACAAAAAAAAAATACAAAAAAAGACAGACAAGACATAGAGAAGGAACTATTTAGGTGAGTGGGACTTCCGGAGCACTGAAACGACACTTCTCACAAAAATGTTTTCATTATGCTGTCACCAGACACAGGCTGGAGAGGATATAGGTGCTGCAGGCACAGACAGAGAGACAGACCGAAACACTGATAAATGAGGAAGAGGGGGAGAGTTTTTTAGGAATTGTGTGTATAAGGTGCAGGCTCCTCCAGACAGCTGCACTGGCTCAGGATTTAGCCAAGTATGTGGAGTTGAGGGAAGGTTGCGGGTTAATTTTGACTCCACCGTTGGGTGTTGTGCCCGCTGTAAAGGCTCAGAGTTTATGAGGAAGTCTCCCTCTCAAGTGACCAGCTACATCTGGGCTGCCTAAGTGGGCTGCCTAATAAATGGCACACTTTTTCAATGATCTGCAATTTCAAAGCACTGAGTAAAGGGTATCCAGCTGTATCAATTTCACTGTATGGATGCAAACTTAGCAGCTATTTGCAGGGAAGTATTTGTGCGGAGACTAGAAGTGGTAATGTTTGAAAGCTTATTCGTGATGACGCTGAAAGCAGTCACACCGCTAGAAACTGCGGGAAAGAAAAATCTAAAGTTTGGCTCCCAACAATCCCTGCAGGAGAACATTAACATGTGATAGAGAAACTCGCCTCAGTCCCTTCCACACCAGAACCCCCTGCTCTTCACTTAAATCCTTTGCCATCCCTTCAACGCTAAATGTGTTTTCCAAATGAAAATAAACGGAGTCTGACTGGTTTGAGGCAGTCATACTCGGGAATATGAGATCAAATAAAGGCTTCTGTGGAGGCTGAAAGGAGAAATGAAATGGCTTCTGAGGGGGAGATGTACCGAGTAATAAAATTACTCCTTTATATCTTCCTAAACAGCACATGTTCCCCCTGGAGTGGGTGAGGGCTTCACTTCGGTCAAAGACAAGTATGCAAGTGGCAATTTTTCCTTCAGGAAGATTCCCTGATACACTTCTGGAGACTTGGCACACTGCAATTTTCTTGAAAACGAGAAACTATTTCAGCAACAAGTTAAGCGGAACTTTGGAAGTTTCACTTTGATGATGTGCTGGTACACGCTGTCATTGAAAGGTATGTTCCATTAAATTGGAACAGCAAGATGATTCATAAGCCTATTGCTTTTCAATGTGTTCAAACTAGGCTGAAATGTTCGACTGTATTTTATACTAACACATACAGTTGACTTAGAGCTGACCATGATGTACCACAAACACAGCAAATCATTTTTGGGATGAAAAATGTCTCTGCTTTGAAATTGGTTAGCTATTCCAATTATACAAGCACCACTCCATTTGGCATTGGGGGGAAAATTTACAACAAAAGTATGAGTCTAACTACTTAAAATCATGCAATTGATTTGTATTATTAAAAAGCTGGTCACAATAATATTCAGATGGACTTTTTCCACTACAGCAGAAGGGCTGTATTAGAGGAAATTTGCAATCGGAGAGAATACATTATAATTCATTATACAGTAGCTATTAAACCTTCAGTAAAAATGCTTTAGTACAAGGATTGAGCCACTTATCAGACCTACTCACTACCTTTAAAAGCTGTCCATGTTCAGTGCTCTGAGTGGCAAAAACGCAATCGCTGATGACTTTGAAAATAGGACGAGATGTACAATTTATCAAAACAGAAACGGATGGCAGGGATTTCAAAGAATCAAAAGGTTGTAACTGTTTGTTCAAAAATCACAAGAGAAAGGAAGACTGCAATTTATGGAATTAGAAAAAAGAAATTCAGAAAACCATTTTTAGAAGTTATCAATAGAGTGGCTTGGGTTATGCCAGCTGAAAAAAAGAGACTTTTAAAAAAGAAAAAGTGTCAATAAGAAGTGTATTGTTCACAAAATGTTTTTCACGTTTTGTGAGGCGTTCACAAGAGGCGTGAAAACGTTTCATCTAAAAATCTCTGCATCTTTCGAGCAACATATATAATGTGGACTTCTAATGAGATTAATTCAAGAAAGTTAAGCATCAGT